CTGATAAACTTTAAAATTATTTTAATAAATCATAAACAAATACATATGTACATACAAAGATCTGCGAAGAAAAATTATTTTTATTGCCATCAATTAAAATATTTAGTCCATAATTAAATAAATTATATTTATATGTATTTAATATCATAATACCTAACGGAAGGTTTAAAAAACTGTGATATTTTCAACTATTACGTTACCCTAATATGGCCAATTTGTATTTTTAAATAATTTCAGATAGAACCCAGAACTCAATCTCAAATTTATTTTAAATAGTCTGTAAATCATAAGAATTAAAATATAACTTTTTTTAATTGGGACCGATTTCAAACATTTCTCAATTTCGAACTTAAAGTTTTCATGATTTTAATAAAACATACATACAGATTTAGGGCAGATGTAGGGTGAAAAAATAATTAGGATTGGAACTTTAAGACAAAGTCAAAATAGTTATTTAATTTTTTGGAATGCAAATACATATAGCAAATTCTACAAATATTTTTGTATACAGTCTTACTAATCCAATCTAAATTGTATGATGAACAAATAAAATTATAAAAGAAAAATTTAGATAAACAATTTGTAGTTGGAAATTAAGTAATAAAATTTCTTATTTGTTTAGTTTAACAATTGAATAAATAAAATATTTTTTGCTAGTAATTATTATGGATCATTTTTATATATAGAAAAGAGTATGAATAACAAAGAAAAAGTTGTACTAGTTCTACTAGTACAACTATTTTCAGATCGCTTTCGTTTTTGTTTAAAATTAAATACCAGTTTGAGCCAGACAAGTTGGAGGTCTTTAGCGAATATCAGCGGAAATTGTCCCATAATTGTTTTAAACGGAAGTGAAATTTTTTTTTATTAACTATGAAATATATAATTTCGAATTGGTTTTAATATCATTAGTTCTCGAACTAAAGTTATGCTAATTGCAATAGAATTACTTCAGCACTTTTTTAGTAAAATTTTTGGCACCATGAATTAATGAGAATCAATGAAGTAGAACCTTAATATCATACAATTTTCAGAAATAGCTCTAGTGCCGAATTCTATTTTTCGAAAGCGATCGAAATTTCTAATGAAATTTTTGTAAATTATCTTGAGGTTTTGATCGCCTTGAAATGCCAGAATTTGCCCCCTGTTCTTCTTTTACATTAATTCTTATTCTTTATAAACTTCTGCAAAATTATAACAATTTAACAAATTTATTTTTAAAAAATTAGAAATAAAATTGCTGAAACTTTTATAAGCACTATCAAAACATTTGTAGTAAATATAAAGTGAATGTCGGAAGTTGGACTTAGATCGGTCCTTTCGTTTTTTTTTAAACATTACGGAGCGATGTCTAGAGAATTTGGGAGATTGATAAATTTATTGGAACTAAGTATTTCATTAAGGTGGCGTGTCATAATGTCCAGTGTCATAATCTCCATGGACGTTATGACACACTAAATTGAGTCATAATGTCCATGGACGTTATGACAATTTCAAAAGTGTCACAATGTCCATGAGCAATGGGACATAAAGTCCATGGATTTCAAAGAGTCCATTTATCAAAAAAAGGATTTATTTAGCGAAGCCTGTGTTCGAAATACCCCAGAGTTTGAAATTCGTGCGACCGGCCGAAGGCCGGCTATCCATGGACATTATGACATTTTAAAAAAAGCGACATTAGGTCGCTTTATAGAGTGTCATAAGGTCTATGGACATTATGTCACTGGACATTATGACACGCCACCTTTCATTAAATTACCTTGAAAACTGTGTTCTATAGTTTGATTACAAGGACAGATATCGTTAAATCGATTCAGAAAATTACTAAAATCACAGAATGTTAAACAGTTATTTAGATTTTCCACTATGAGTTCATGTGATAGCGTCACAACAACTTCTATGAAGTTCAAATCCATTTTATACATTTCCCGAAGATCTAAGGGGTCTCAACATTTAATCTTTGTTTATCCAGCTATGTCACTGCAATCTGAGATCGTCGTTACCTTAATGAGGAACGCACGAGAAAACGGAGATCCCCATGGTCGTGAAATTAAACTTCTAAATCATACAATTGAGGCCTATCCGAATGACTGGAAAATGTATGGAAACATTAAAGAGCATTTAATCTAAGACCGTTTTAGATTATAAGAAAGCTTTAACCTAATACTCTTCTAGAGGTTAGCTATGCAGGCCACTCGGTAGTAGTCGGCAACGAAAGAGCGAATTTACTTGCTTTAAAGGGAAGGGAGCTCAAGGTAGTTTACCTGACGAACGCTAAATCTTTCGACAAAACGAAAGCCGAATTAAAATACGAACGAAAGAATCCCATATGGTCACATGGAATAATGAAACGGTGGGTAGAACCACAAAGATCTTATGGGGTGACCTTAACGAGAAGCCTCCATAAAATGAACAAGTCTCACTTTAGAAGGTATGTATTATGAGTGGAAACACAGGATTTAGGACGCAACTATTAAAAAGTAGACCTGTGGTAGACAACGAATGTAGAGCATGTGGAGAGGGCAGTGTAAGTATGGGGCACTTTCTTTGTCTTTGTTATGCTTTGTTATTATCTCGCATATATAACATCCCTTACGAACAATGATTGGAAAATTCTTAGAAATTACATTTAGGAAACTGAACTTTTGAACATCGGATGATAATACCTTCATTGATCACCATATAAGGTTTATATTTTTACCAACAAACATTTTCCATGAAAAGGGGAGCACAACAGGCCTGATAGTGGCATAGAAGTATTTCCTTAAATTTTCTGTAGTATACATCCTCCTACCAACTTAATCTTAAGAGGCATGGCCACTCAACTTTTTTTCGAGCAGAGGATTTGTGGAGTTAATATATAGGAGTAGCAAAATTTTTGAATCTTAGCCTTATGTTTGTAGATTTAATAGATTCCTCAAGAGATTCATGAATTTTATTAAAAATGTTGGTTCCTAAACTTTCTTCTTCTCAACGGGAGCTAGCCTCTAATAAGTCAACCTCACTAAATTATAGAAATTGGAAGAGAGTTAATGTATTCCATCGGTTATGGTTTGTGCAGTTTAGAAGTGTTCATTTTGACAGGGAAAACGAAAAAATTTAAGATAAATAATTGGAGCTACACAAGCAGCAAATCCAAAATTTATATGAAATCAAATATCGATGACACTAAGGTAATACTCTGTATTTGGTGGGATAAAAAGGTTCCTTTCTATTATGGCTGGCAAGACTAACACAGGGAACCTTTGGTGGGATCAAAAGGTTCATATGTATTATGAGCTGCTGTCAAGACTAATACAGGGAACCTGTACCGAAACTAATTAGATGGAAGTGGTTGGGAAGTTTTGCATCACCCGCCTTAGAGTCTACCCTTGCCACTTCCGACTACTATTTTTTTCGATCAATGTTGACACTTTGAGAAACACTTCGTTTCAGAAGAAGGTATCCGAAATTGGCTAGATTCGTTCATAGCCTCAAAATATGAGTTCTTTTGTTTGTGTCATTGGCGTACATGCCATGAGCTTTCATGCTTTCTCGCTTTGATCGATTATTATTGAAGTTGTCCTAACGAAGAGGAAGAAGAGACGATATCTCACTTATTCTGCGATTATTTGACATTTAGTATAGAGAGCGTTATTCAGATTCTTCAGGCATAGAGGAACTATCTGGGAAACCAAAAGGCATATCCAAAAATTTATAAAAGAGTCCACCGTAAATGTTAGATTATCGTTAAACATTTCCTGTGGAAGTTGCCAAAGTAATCAATTACTTTCTCTGGCAATACTCTATTTCCCTATATTAGAGGATCTAGATTCTAGTGATTTACACAAATCTTATTGACTGATGCTGATTCTCTTCTAATCCTCTATATTTGATTTTCTGGTTATCTTCTCTTTTTGTATGTATTAACTACAACTATTTAAACTTTAAGATACTTTTACATTTACACTCTCTCCCATTTTGTTGGTCCTTCAGTTAACGATTAAACCAAACAATTTGATGGATTCAAGTACAACTACAATATAACCAAAATTACTACAAATAATGACTGTTTAATATGATGTTGTATGGTTGTATCGTAGTATGTCGTAATTTTTATACCCTACACCACTATAGTGAGGAGGGTATTATGCGTTTGTGTTGATGTTTGTAACACCCAAAAATACACCCACCTTAAAGTATACCAATCGGCTCAGAATCACTTTCTGAATCGTCTGTCCGTCGGTGTGTCCATGTAAACCTTGTGCTCACGCTACAGGTCGCGATTTTCGAGATAATTTGATGAAATTTGGCACACATTATTTTTTCGACACAGAGACGAAAATGGTTATAATCGGTATATTATTTAACCGAGCCCCCATACAACCGTATCCTCCGAATAGGGCTTTTGAGCTCATAATTATGTTAAATGTTCTAATATCTCTACAAAAATCGGAATAACGAGGTTTTATATACATCTAAATTATACTCCCGATTTTCGTAATGATCGATCCATATTTGACCCTAGCCCACTTCGGAAAATCAGTTGAAGTTCAAAATTCACTTATAAACACTACTATCTCGGTTAAATTCTTCATAAATAACTGTAATGTAAACGGAAATCCCTCTACCAAAATGCATAAGGATAGGCCCATATTTATCCTTGCCCCCACATAACTCCTCTTTTGGAAAAACTCTTTTTTGGCAATAAATTGTTAAAATATTTCGGAGTAAAGGTAAAAAACTAAAATGATTTTTTATTAAAAAATAATCCACATTTTTAACATACGTACTGGTGTAGGGTATCATATGGTCGACCATGTCCGACTGTACATTCTTACTTGTTTTGTTATTGAATTGTTTTTGTTTCCAAAAATTGTATTTGAAATTTTTTTATGACATACAACGATACAACATCGATTGTGAATTGGACAATTATATTTTCAAAATTTTGTATTGAGAATAAGTATAGATTGCTTAAACATAGAGAAAATCAAATCAAAGAAATTGTTATTTTTTCAGAACATTTTATTCAAATCAACTTTTTTTATTATTAATTACAATTATTTTTACTTTAATAAGCAAATCAAAAAATAATGAAAAATTGTAAATAAAACAAACAGTATTTAAAGATAAATAATACAAAAAAAAAAATGAGAAAACAAAGAAGTTAAAACTTTTTATGCAAAAAATAAAAAAACAACTTAAACAAACTTTAAAATTAACAAAAATTAAAAGGGAGGAAAATGTATTTATAAAAAAAATTATAGAATAATAAATGAATTAGTTGTAATATAACGTTTTATGTAATTCAAATACTTGAATAAAAGATTAAAAAGTTTTTATAAAATTTTATGTATTAGGGGGAGTTTACCTTTTAAAATGGAAACGTGCCATTAACAGTGATTTATAAAAACAGAAATCAAGCTAAATAAATAGTTTCTTTTCTAATCTTCTAAAGTAACATTACGGAACAAATAAGACATGGATTCTTTGTTATGAATACGGCGTATGGCCTCGGCAATTAGAATGGAAATGTCAATGGTTTTGATTTTATGACATTGTAATTTTTGGATCTCATGTGGAATGGTATTGGTAACAACAACCTGCGAGAGAGAAAATTGGAATTTTTAATACAAAAGTGTAAAAACTAAATAAAGCAAATTTACCTCATCAATGAAAGATTCCTCAATTAAACGAGGTGCATCAGAGCTTAACAAACCATGAGTGGCCAAAACATAAATTTTACAAGCACCATTTTCTTTTAAAACTTCAGCAGCAGCCACAAACGATTGTACATCATCGATTAAATCATCCTACAAGTACAAGAAGAGTATACCAAACTGTTGGCGCTTGAGTAAAGCACAACAATTTACTTACCACCATAATGGCAATACGTCCAGAAACATCACCTACAACGTTAATGGGTGGTTTTACTTTGGGTGGATGATCGGGTACACCAACCGATACACTTACGGTACGAGTACGGCTGCTAAATATGTTAAGTTACAATATTTGATTATTGTAGTTTTCTTTTAATGGAAATGTGATTTTAATTTGCGTTTTTATGAGAATCTAGTTTAATGTTTTATGATTTTGATTAAAATTAATATATATATTTTTTTATAAATTAAATTATTATTTTTTGGAGTATGATTTTTTTTTATATTTTTTTTTCTTTTTGTTAAAAAAAATACCAACCTAGGTGTTGCTGGTAAGCACATTTCAACTGTATTTCCTATGTCATATGTACTGGATTGTTTTAGATTTGAACACAATTGTAATAAAATAGAAAATAAATTTTGTTTTTTTTTTTCTTTTCTTTCGAATTTCGTTTGTTTTTCGTTTTTTTTCTTTAATTTAATTAAAAATAATAAATTTGTAACTAATATACACACACATTGAGCTAAATATTATATACAAATACTTTGAAAATAAAAAATAAAATACACAGATGCACTTTCAATACACAAAACTAAAAACTGCATTATTTGTGATAAAAAAATAATGCTAAATATTCAGCCCTATGTTTACAAAACAAACGTTACATATTGAGATAATAATAAACAATTACCAGTTTATAAAGAAAATGCTAAATTCCTTTACATCGGTAAAATTAATGTCATGATTACAACGGTTGCTACAGTGGCGTTAAAGTAGGAAAATTTTAAGTTCGATATTGCGAAATGAATAAAAATGTCCCCTAAAAAAACTAATTTAGAGATTGATTTATTAGTTTAAAATTTTTTTCGAACATAGTTCGAATTTTCGAAAATATTTTTAAAATCCTGTAAACTGTTAAAAAAAGATTGTTTTAATAGTTTCTAATATTTTCGATCATAGTTTCGATTTTTTATATTATTAGCAAATTATGGCCTATTAGTGCTGGGTTAATCGGTTCCGCCAAGATATTTCTAAATTTAAAACTTGCAAAAAGAATTTACAACTTTGATATTCAATTTCCTTGTAAATTACTCTTGGAATTCTTGTTATCTATGATAAGGTAGAAAAATTGCAAAATGTATGTAGTTTAAACTAGCTTGAAGTTGAAAACATGAAACACCTATAGGGCGCTACGAACGAAGTCCCCAATGAACTAAATCCCCAAAACGATAATGAACTAGGTCCCCAATTTTGGAGAGTTAATTCTTTCTGAATAAAGGCCCCAATATTAGAAATGAAATAAAATCCCAAAAGAGTGAATTAAACTTCCGAATTCGAATTAAAGGTCTATCTATCTATCTATCTATCTATCTATCTATCTATCTATCTATCTATCTATCTATCTATCTATCTATCTATCTATCTATCTATCTATCTATCTATCTATCTATCTATCTATCTATCTATCTATCTATCTATCTATCTATCTATCTATCTATCTATCTATCTATCTATCTATCTATCTATCTATCTATCTATCTATCTATCTATCTATCTATCTATCTATCTATCTATCTATCTATCTATCTATCTATCTATCTATCTATCTATCTATCTATCTATCTATCTATCTATCTATCTATCTATCTATCTATCTATCTATCTATCTATCTATCTATCTATCTATCTATCTATCTATCTATCTATCTATCTATCTATCTATCTATCTATCTATCTATCTATCTATCTATCTATCTATCTATCTATCTATCTATCTATCTATCTATCTATCTATCTATCTATCTATCTATCTATCTATCTATCTATCTATCTATCTATCTATCTATCTATCTATCTATCTATCTATCTATCTATCTATCTATCTATCTATCTATCTATCTATCTATCTATCTATCTATCTATCTATCTATCTATCTATCTATCTATCTATCTATCTATCTATCTATCTATCTATCTATCTATCTATCTATCTATCTATCTATCTATCTATCTATCTATCTATCTATCTATCTATCTATCTATCTATCTATCTATCTATCTATCTATCTATCTATCTATCTATCTATCTATCTATCTATCTATCTATCTATCTATCTATCTATCTATCTATCTATCTATCTATCTATCTATCTATCTATCTATCTATCTATCTATCTATCTATCTATCTATCTATCTATCTATCTATCTATCTATCTATCTATCTATCTATCTATCTATCTATCTATCTATCTATCTATCTATCTATCTATCTATCTATCTATCTATCTATCTATCTATCTATCTATCTATCTACTATCTATCTATCTATCTATCTATCTATCTATCTATCTATCTATCTATCTATCTATCTATCTATCTATCTATCTATCTATCTATCTATCTATCTATCTATCTATCTATCTATCTATCTATCTATCTATCTATCTATCTATCTATCTATCTATCTATCTATCTATCTATCTATCTATCTATCTATCTATCTATCTATCTATCTATCTATCTATCTACCTATCTATCTATTTATCTATCTATCTACCTATCTATCTATCTATCTATCTATCTATCTATCTATCTATCTATCTATCTATCTATCTATCTATCTATCTATCTATCTATCTATCTATCTATCTATCTATCTATCTATCTATCTATCTATCTATCTATCTATCTATCTATCTATCTATCTATCTATCTATCTATCTATCTATCTATCTATCTATCTATCTATCTATCTATCTATCTATCTATCTATCTATCTATCTATCTATCTATCTATCTATCTATCTATCTATCTATCTATCTATCTATCTATCTATCTATCTATCTATCTATCTATCTATCTATCTATCTTTCTATTGAAGGTATAGTATACTAGTTCCGAAACAATTTCTTATAACCGGTTGAATAAAAATTAGAACAATTAATTACATTCAAATTTAAAAATGTCTTGTATTTGCTGAGATATATATTCAATATCATTAGTCGCAACACCAAACTAGTACAAGTATAGGCTATAATCATATAATCTGAAATTACTTATGAACTAACATAATTTTGCCTGAGTAAGTACATACATACATATGTATATATTCCAGAGGTTGCGAAGGTTTCAATATTCCCTTTTTTTTAATTTTAGTCAATTATAGCTAAGTCGTTGAATAGACTATTTTAAAATTTGAGAGGTATTTAGATTCTCAAGTGGAGATTACTATAGACCAAATTATGGATAACTAATAATACAATTTTGTGACTATTTCCCCATTTTTACAATTAAACAAACTAGGGCTGAACATGTTTACAACAAGCTCCAATTTAAATATTATATTCATAAATATTCAAAAAGAAAATAATCAAGTTTTAAATAGTCGTAAAAAATGCACAAACAAATTTACAATACTGAAAAGATGCAACAAAATATTATTAGAGTAATTTAGCATAAGAAATTTATAATAACAATAGTATGTAATTAAATAAATATTATATTTTAAACAAAACAAACAAAAAATGTGGTTTGAGCAGGTGCTGCTACAGTTGTCTCTTAAAACTGCAGTAAAATTAATCGTTTTTTTTAAGATAATAGTGTGCTCGTGTAATATGTAAATTTAGTTATTTTGCAATTGTTTTTGGTGTTTGATATTTATGATATAATAGAGTAAATAATATTCTATTTATTACAATCTCTACTACTGCACATGTTTAAGAAAGGGATTTTGTTGATTAGATTTAAGTGTAATAAATAAACGGTTGTAGTTGTTATAATTTTAACATTATACATTTCCACATGAATCAAAGATAGTTTTATTTACAAACAAATTTTATTTATTGTTTATAACGTCAAACTGTTTGTAATGTGGTTTTTACGACACGTGTTTTACAAATAACTGAATTTGAAATTTTTTATAATAGGTATTTAGTATAACAAAAAACTTCTCGTTTATTATAAAATATTTTATGTTTAACATTATCTTAGCGTAAGTAATATGTATCAATGAAAACCTGCAATCACCTTAAGTGAAATATAATTTTGTTTAGACAACAATTAAGCAATTAAATTTTAAATTATGCCATTGAAATTTACGCATATACTATTTTCCCAGTAAAATATTTTAAAATTTTGGTAATGATAATGGGTTTGTAGCCAATCGTCTAGAGCGTATATCTAACATGGAATTACTTAGTGATTTTAACCCTGGTCGAAATGACGAATGTAGTTTCTTTCAAGCGGAGATCTTAGAGATTTAAAAAGCCACGAAACTGATAAGAGAGAACATCGATCTTGTAACAATTTGTATCAAAAGGCAGGCTTCACATAAACTTAGGTAGTGATCGAACTGACAATAATAAGTTCGAGGGTCCTATAGAAGGTACAGTTAGGAGGGAGACTGTCCTACCCATTTGTCGCTATTATAGGTTGATATCTGAAAGATACCGAACCATTATCAATCAACCCTGGAAGAGTAGAATGAAGGCCCAAGACTTGATGTGAATGCAAGATGTAGTCTTGGGTCGTTAAGTGCCATAATACCAATCCGGATTACTATTAACTGCCACTGTCATAGAATGCAAAGTCTTAGGCTGAAATGGCTGGGTTGTATGTTCCACCGCGAACTGGGAGATGTTACAAGGAGCAAATCTGAAAATTCGACATCTTTTTCCATACTTTATTTTTATATATAGATATAAATTAAATTCTCATTATAATAGTGGCAAACTTTTTCAATTAGTGATTAACAATGTCAACAATTTGCCAAGATGTAAAGAATTTTGTATGTAAAGAAGTTATTTTGACTATTTTAAGTGAATTTGCAATCTTGGACGGACCTGTTTTTCGTTTCACGTATTTTCTTTAAATTGCAAACGAGTAAATGGTACGACTCTTGAAGTCTTTTGTTTGTTTACACCGGGGTGCGCTAAAATTCAAAACAGAGTGCATCTAAATTTTAACAGAACAGTTCTTTAGTTATTTGTTCTAAGATTTGGAAGGCGCTTTACACTTTTGCAGTCTAGAACACAAGTTTATTGGCAAACTGAATACTTAGCGGGATAGTTTTCCAAACTAATTAATGTAATATACGACTAATGCATATAGTTTACACAACATCAATTCAAGGGACTTTTTTCTACAGTGGCTGAAAGCAGTTAATGTATTTTCTGAGATCAATAGCATACTGAAATGAAATATACCCCACTTGGAATGACAGAGGAGGAAAATAAGAGTTTATTCAATAATATTACAGTTAAAAGATCTCAAGTCCCACGACAATTGGAAACGACCCGAATGATACTCGGGAAAAAATTGTCAACCAGCAACAGTGGTATCAAGGAAAAATTTTTCCCCCTGGAAAGAACTATCGGCCACAGTCGAACTATTACAATAACAACCGTTTACAGTACGGAAAATAATACCAAGCTTAAAGTTTCATAGATCTGTACCAATCACTGTGTGAAGAGAGATAGTGCAAATGTTCCACAAGAAACCAAAAACTATATCCATTTCGAATTAAAGAACCTGCTAAAGGCTCACTTTACTCTACATGTAGTATGTATTCATAAGTAATAATGGTGACACTCTGAAGATACTGAAGAGATACTGACATTAAGGAGCTGAAAACCATTTCTATTTCTAACACTTTATACGGAGTCGGCCTGTCGACCTCAAAAATCTCACATAAAGTTATTGAGAAATTCCAAAACTTATACTTTGTTTCGTCAGTATAGAATTTGTTGGCTAGTGTTGCCTAAATATGATGGATTTTAAAGACATTCCAAAGACAATAGATATATAGAGATTCTAGCGTAGAGATCAGTTCTGGAATTTTCAATTACATATATTTCAGAATTTTCCTTTATATTACAAAGCATTTAAAATATGTAGTTTGAAAGATATTTTAAAAATATAAGGTCGAATTTTTGAACATGCTTAAAATATATTCCAAAATATTTAAGTTCGAAATTGGAAAATGTAAGAAATTAGTGTTAAAAACTAAATTTTATTTTTATGAATACTTTTGATTAAGAGATTATTTTAACTGGTTTAAAAACTTTTCGAATATAAGTTCGAAATTTCGAAAATATTTTAATAATTCTACAATTAAATTCTCCAAATACAACTAAAACAATATTTATATAATTTCCTTGATTATGAGATAATTTTAACAGTTTTAAAGAATTTTTAAACATGCATTTAAATTGACATCAAGTGCTTTACATGTTTAGGCTTTTCTTTTAAGAAAAGTATTTCAAAATTATGTTTCAAAAGCTATCAATTACCACTTGAAGAAGAATTTTAAAATAATGACCAAACAAAATCATAAAAATTGTTGAAACATTTTGTACAAACATTTGAAAAAACAAATCACATGCAATACGAACTCATAATATTTACAAAAAAGAAATCATTCGAGAAAACTTTTATAAAAAAACCAAAAACTATTATAGTAAAAATCAAAAATAATACCCAGTTTAAAAAGTTCGAACAGAATTTTGAAAGTTGAAATGTACTTTTTGTTTAAATCAACAAAAACTCATAGAAAAAAAGGAAACGTTGAAAGTTATTTGTGACCAAGTGGGAGAGAGGAGGAAAATAAATATTTTAAATGATAAAATAACAATGAAATGATAATATGAGTGAATTAATTATTATGTAATCAAATAGATTTAGGAAAAAAGCAAATGATGACTAATTATGCTTAAATTTTGTACATGAAAAAGCATATTAAATAATGACAACGCAATTAAAAATTAAATAATAATTATTGACACACACACAAGTACAATAATAGTGTTACATAAAAATATGTCATATGGTGCAATTATACACACACGCATACATTCACATTTTATATACGAATTACAAGTTTAGAAAAAGGATCAAATATGTGTGTTTAATTTTGTGGTATATTTTATATATCAATTATAGACATGAAGAGCAAACTAAATTAAATACTTCTTTTTTATATTTTACGAGATAATATAAATAATAATGATTTGTTGTCACTACCCAAAATAATAATAAAGAAAGAATAATGGAACTATCTTCAACTTACCTATTGGAAGGTGGTGGCGAATAACGACCATCAACTTGATCACTTTCAGCTTCTTTTTGTTCACCATGAATGACAGCAATGCCTAAACGTAAACGTTCAGCATAAGAAGTAGCTTTCTGTGTAGAGCCTGGATTACGGGCTACAATAACAGAATTACGATAATCGGGTATCTAAATGGAAAATTATATTAAATTAAAAATTAAAACATAATACATTTATGATTAAAAACCTACACTTTCTTGTATATATTGTAAAAGAAAAGGTGAGGCTCTGAGATTATCCACAGGTATATCAAAGAAACCTTGTATTTCTTTTTGATGCAAATCCATGGTAATTATATGAGTCAAACCCGAGGTGCCCATCATTTTGGCCAATAATTTTGAAACAATACAACCACGTTTCCGCATTTTACATTGCTTGGAATAAGGCAAATAGGGAATAACACCCACAATCGATCGAGCTGATGAGGTTTTACAGGCATAAGCCATAATTAACAATTCCATAATATTGTTATTAGCATCTCTTTAAAAAAGAAAATTATATAAATAAATAAAATTATTATAGAAATAAAAATTACGTATTCACTTACTTGGTGCCAGTTTGTATAATATAAATATCTTTGCCTCTTACTGAATCACCAATTTCCACCATTGTCTCACGATTTGTTTTATGAAATACCGAACAGCCACCACTTTTAATACCCATACGTTCGGCTACTAAATTGGCTAAATCGGGATGCGAATTGCCATGTATTATAACAATATCTGATGCTGATGTTGTATCCATTTCGCTACGACAACGTTTCGGTGGTCGTACACTTCCCAATCTAGAGAAAATAATAATAATAAAGTTTTATAGATTTTAAGTAAATTGAAAATGTTTAGTTATAACGAAATTCAAAAAAGAAAAACAGCGTTAAATTTGAGGACTTGTTACAAATTGCAGGAAAGCTTTCAAATCTACTTAACGGCAGGGGGTTTTAAAAACGGATGATTAACATGTTAAAAATTAAAACATCTCTTAAATCTCTTTTATAAAATGTAAAATAATATATTGTTGAATTTAATAAGTTCAGCTATAAATTTTAAAGTTTTCGTTTCAGCGGATTAGGGTTAATTGACTAAAATATAAAACTTTGACTACATAAATCGCACAAATTTAAAATTTTACAGACACACTTCTCACCACTCATGGAACATAAATTAGGAATTTTGTAGCATCGGTTATACCGTGAATTTTTTCGAAAATCTTAACTACTCGTTTCTACTCGAATTTTAGTTTAATTCTTACTCGAATTTTAATTTAATTCTTCATTTAAAGAGTAGTTTGGAAGATTTAAAAGATTTTCGTCAAAATCTTTATAAAGATAACTTTTGTTAAACAGTTTCATACAATTTGTTTATTAGATAGTCAGTTTATAGTCCATAGTTTAGTCTATAAACTTGTCTATAGTCTAAACTATAGTCTAGTCTATAGTCTATGCTATAGTCTAGTCTATAGTCTAGTCAATTGTTTATTAGATAGTCAGTTTATAGTCCATAGTTTAGTCTATAAACTTGTCTATAGTCTAAACTATAGTCTAGTCTATAGTCTATGCTATAGTCTAGTCTATAGTCTAGTCTATAGTCTAGTCTATAGTCTAGTCTATAGTCTAGTCTATAGTCTAGTCTATAGTCTAGTCTATAGTCTAGTCTATAGTCTAGTCTATAGTCTAGTCTATAGTCTAGTCTATAGTCTAGTCTATAGTCTAGTCTATAGTCTAGTCTATAGTCTAGTCTATAGTCTAGTCTATAGTCTAGTCTATAGTCTAGTCTATAGTCTAGTCTATAGTCTAGTCTATAGTCTAGTCTATAGTCTAGTCTATAGTCTAGTCTATAGTCTAGTCTATAGTCTAGTCTATAGTCTAGTCTATAGTCTAGTCTATAGTCTAGTCTATAGTCTAGTCTATAGTCTAGTCTATAGTCTAGTCTATAGTCTAGTCTATAGTCTAGTCTATAGTCTAGTCTATAGTCTAGTCTATAGTCTAGTTATAGTCTAGTCTATAGTCTAGTTATAGTCTAGTCTATAGTCTAGTCTATAGTCTAGTCTATAGTCTAGTCTATAGTCTAGTCTACTGTCTAGTCTATAGTCTAGTCTATAGTCTAGTCTATAGTCTAGTCTATAGTCTAGTCTATAGTCTAGTCTATAGTCTAGTCTATAGTCTAGTCTATAGTCTAGTCTATAGTCTAGTCTATAGTCTAGTCTATAGTCTAGTCTATAGTCTAGTCTATAGTCTAGTCTATAGTCTAGTCTATAGTCTAGTCTATAGTCTAGTCTATAGTCTAGTCTATAGTCTAGTCTATAGTCTAGTCTATAGTCTAGTCTAGTCTATAGTCTAGTCTATAGTCTAGTCTATAGTCTAGTCTATAGTCTAGTCTATAGTCTAGTCTATAGTCTAGTCTATAGTCTATAGTCTAGTCTAGTCTATAGTCTAGTCTATAGTCTAGTCTATAGTCTAGTCTATAGTCTAGTCTAGTATATAGTCTAGTCTATAGTCTAGTCTATAGTCTAGTCTATAGTCTAGTCTATAGTCTAGTCTAAAGTCTAGTCTATAGTCTAGTCTATAGTCTAGTCTATAGTCTAGTCTATAGTCTAGTCTATAGTCTAGTCTATAGTCTAGTCTATAGTCTAGTCTATAGTCTAGTCTATAGTCTAGTCTATAGTCTAGTCTATAGTCTAGTCTATAGTCTAGTCTATAGTCTAGTCTATAGTCTAGTCTATAGTCTAGTCTATAGTCTAGTCTATAGTCTAGTCTATAGTCTAGTCTATAGTCTAGTCTATAGTCTAGTCTATAGTCTAGTCTATAGTCTAGTCTATAGTCTAGTCTATAGTCTAGTCTATAGTCTAGTCTATAGTCTAGTCTATAGTCTAGTCTATAGTCTAGTCTATAGTCTAGTCTATAGTCTAGTCTATAGTCTAGTCTATAGTCTAGTCTATAGTCTAGTCTATAGTCTAGTCTATAGTCTAGTCTATAGTCTAGTCTATAGTCTAGTCTATAGTCTAGTCTATAGTCTAGTCTATAGTCTAGTCTATAGTCTAGTCTATAGTCTAGTCTATAGTCTAGTCTATAGTCTAGTCTATAGTCTAGTCTATAGTCTAGTCTATAGTCTAGTCTATAGTCTAGTCTATAGTCTAGTCTATAGTCTAGTCTATAGTCTAGTCTATAGTCTAGTCTATAGTCTAGTCTATAGTCTAGTCTATAGTCTAGTCTATAGTCTAGTCTATAGTCTAGTCTATAGTCTAGTCTATAGTCTAGTCTATAGTCTAGTCTATAGTCTAGTCTATAGTCTAGTCTATAGTCTAGTCTATAGTCTAGTCTATAGTCTAGTCTATAGTCTAGTCTATAGTCTAGTCTATAGTCTAGTCTATAGTCTAGTCTATAGTCTAGTCTATAGTCTAGTCTATAGTCTAGGTCTATAGTCTAGCTCTATAGTCTAGTCTATAGTCTAGTCTATAGTAGTCTAGTCTAGTCTAAGTCTAGTCTATAGTCTAGTCTATAGTCTAGTCTCTATAGTCTAGTCTATAGTCTAGTCTATAGTCTTCGTCTATAGTCTAGTCTATAGTCTAGTCTATAGTCTAGTCTATAGTCTAGTCTATAGTCTAGTCTATAGTCTAGTCTATAGTCTAGTCTATAGTCTAGTCTATAGTCTAGTCTATAGTCTAGTCATAGTTAGTCTAGTAGTCTATAGTCTAGTCTATAGTCTAGTCTATAGTCTAGTCTATAGTCTAGTCTATAGTCTAGTCTATAGTCTAGTCTATAGTCTAGTCTATAGTCTAGTCTATAGTCTAGTCTATAGTCTAGTCTATGTCTAGTCTATAGTCTAGTCTATAGTCTAGTCTATAGTCTAGTCTATAGTCTAGTCTATAGTCTAGTCTATAGTCTAGTCTATAGTCTAGTCTATAGTCTAGTCTATAGTCTAGTCTATAGTCTAGTCTATAGTCTAGTCTATAGTCTAGTCTATAGTCTAGTCTATAGTCTAGTCTATAGTCTAGTCTATAGTCTAGTCTATAGTCTAGTCTATAGTCTAGTCTATAGTCTAGTCTATAGTCTAGTCTATAGTCTAGTCTATAGTCTAGTCTATAGTCTAGTCTATAGTCTAGTCTATAGTCTAGTCTATAGTCTAGTCTATAGTCTAGTCTATAGTATAGTCTATAGTCTAGTCTATAGTCTAGTCTATAGTCTAGTCTATAGTCTAGTCTATAGTCTAGTCTATAGTCTAGTCTATAGTCTAGTCTATAGTCTAGTCTATAGTCTAGTCTATAGTCTAGTCTATAGTCTAGTCTATAGTCTAGTCTATAGTCTAGTCTATAGTCTAGTCTATAGTCTAGTCTATAGTCTAGTCTATAGTCTAGTCTATAGTCTAGTCTATAGTCTAGTCTATAGTCTAGTCTATAGTCTAGGCTATAGTCTAGGCTATAGTCTAGTCTAAAGTCTAGTCTATAGTCTAGTCTATAATTAATCTTTTACGCATTTATAAATCCTAAAAAAAACAACAACTTTATAACAAAATATTATCCACACAACACAAAATTGATTATACACATTAAAAACTTAAGCGACTGAATCCCCAAATGTTGATGTTTGTAACCTACTAAACTATATTTATGTTAATATGGCTAAAACAAACAAAAAAAGACACACGTGTATAAATTCCAGGACAAAAAAGTTCAACCAGGATTACAACAACTTAACAAATAACAAGCAGTTACATACTATAAAAATTAACACGAAAGACACACAATAACTAACTTTTTTTTTGGGAAATATCACATGCGAATTTTGTTTTAAATTATAGCAGTTGTAATAAGAAATTAAAACTATAGACACACAAAAAAGTTTAGCCAGAAACAAAAAATTTAACTTTATTGTTCACTTTTCGCAAAAATATGAAACAATAAAACGAATGCTAAATGTATAAAAACACAAAACCTTAAATTCCAGTTAAAGAATTAAAAAAAAAAAAAAACAACCATAAAAATATTGATCAAACATAAAAGAAAGAAAATGTCAGTAGAGTAAAGTGAAATAATAGTTGTCCATAGTAAGAAAACAGAAAGAAAGTTAAACGTCAAACAAATGCAGCAGTAATCAGTGGTTTTCCTAACGACAGAAAAAGTGAAATGTCTTCAACTGAAGACAACTGAAAATATACTAAAATAAAACTCAAGAAAGTTAAACGTAAATTACTTATTTCAAACAGTTTCAAACGCAGTGTTAGATTTTCAACTAGAGATTATGTTATTAAAAAACAATCAAGAAAAAAGTAAAAACTTCTAAAAATATGCAAAGTATTTGTAAATTGTTTACGCCTCTTTAAGTATGTTATAATAAAATAAAATAATTTACTGCATATTCTCGACAAATTGTAATAAAATAAAAGCAAAACTTGGCTAAAGTACAAAAAACTAAAGTGAAATAAAATAATAAATTGAAAAATTCACACGCAAACTTTTTCAAGTGGTTTTCTTCTTCGAGTATTTTTTTTTTTCGTTCTTTAAGAATTGTAAATATCTAAAAGTATACTAAGAAAAGTATACCTCTAACAAGTGCCTTTAAGTATGCAAATTATTTGTTGCATTAGAAATATGAAAATTCAAGTATAAACATGTTGATTTTGTTCTCTTTTCAATACAGTTGCACAAAAATTCTTAATGTCAAAGGAACAAATTGATGAATGGATATGTAAATAACAGACTAACTAAATAATGGGTGATTCAGGTAAGTTGTGAATTTAAAAAAAATACAAGGTTATAATAGTTTTGGAAGGGTTAAGCACAATACACCTCCTCTCCGAGTCCGCGTCGTTCTTTCAATAGAATATACAAATAGAAAATAAATAGTTTATTAGTTTGAAAGGAGGATGTATGTTACATCTAATCCGAAGAAATACATCTAGACCTTCATCGGACCTGTTGAACGCTCTTTACCAGTGTCTCTGGAGGGTTTCGAACCCACGATCTCCGGTTGACAGACTAGAACACAAACTAATGATGGAAGAAATAGAAAGAGAGAGAGAGAGAGATAGAAATACAGGAATGAAACGATACCGTGAGTTAAAAGGTTCCCAACATAGTTCCGGAAAGCAATATTTTGAGATCTCGAAGTAATTGATGTATTAGAGGAGATCTGAATCCTCTCAATCGAAAACCGGGCTTATTCACCTCATAAAACCTGCTTGGGTTACACAAAGTAATACTCTCGATTCGTCGTGGAACCTATTTCCTAACCATTTGAGACTCTTTATTCTAGGACCATAGCAAATTAAGTGCTCAATCGTCTTTAGTTCCCTAAAGACAATCTTAGTTGCCTTTGCATCAACTTCACAAACCTCGAATAGTTCATCGGATCCTAACCAACTGCTCCTATTTGGAAACTCTGTAGGAGGTGTTTCCATAAAGTCGTAAATGTTTAATAGTAATTATTACTGAATGATTTCAAATATGAAATATTATAAATTTTTAGATGGAACCAGTTCCGGGTGTGACAAAAATCATTGATAATTAACTGGTTTCAGAACCAGTTCCGAGATGAAGATTACAAAATAATACCATTTGTCTTAACTCCAAAATAGAACGAGGACAGTTTTTCAAAAAGAACTAATAAAATTTTTACTAAAACATTCGTGATTCAGATCAATCAGTTTGCTAACTAAGAGAAAACTATATTGAAATGTCAGATAACTATATGATTATTATGAAATGTATTGAAAATTAACAGTCCATTTAGTAAATTATTTTATATAATGACTTTTAACATATAGGTTAAAGTACTTTGAGTTCTATGAACCCAATATTAACTACCCGGGAAAACATATAACCATTTAGCCTCTCAATAGCGCCAACAAAACAATTGAACACTTAACCTTATTATAGACTTAATACCAAACAATAACAACAAATATTATAGACTGACTGAATGTAGGTCTTAAAAACATAATGACACGAAACGTAAATGCACAGCAATTAAAATGCAAATCCATCCATCCATTTATCCATCTAGAACAATAGGATGCGCGATAAATGGCACGCATTAAAAAAGTAAATTCAATGAAAGTTTTATTTGTTATTTATTTTTTCCTACATACTTTTGCACGCTCACATCATGAAAGTAAAAATGTATAAAGAAAAATGGAAAAACTGACACCAATTGTAGGTGAAAATGAAGGAAGAAGTGGAGGTTGAAGAAAACACTAATATATAGTCAGTCAATAAGTTATAAAATGTCTTAGGCTAGATAATAATGAAATTGTTTAGACTAGTTTTCTTATGGCACAAAAGGTTAAAAGGAAATTATATGGTGAAAAGAAAACTTGTGTAATGTTAAGGATATGTGTCATAATGTCTGTCTGTTGGTGTGACGTTTTAAATAGGCGTAAATGTTGTTGGTAAGTGAGTGTGTTGAGTGTTTAGTTGCAGAGTTTTAAAAGAGTTTAGTACATATATGTATTTACTTTTAACTAACTAGTTGTTGTACTACATTTACAATTTTGACTGAAATTAGTTATACAAATCCTAGTACCCTTCCTAGACAGTCCCCAGTAATATTCCAGTAATCAGTTATTCGTCAGTAGTTGGTGCTTAGTGAGTAGAGAGCTGTTCTTTAAAAATGATTCGTTTTAAGAAATTAGTAACTGTCTGGAATGCTATAGAGTTTGATCCTTAAGTGAGCTAAGCCCCAGAAAAGACGCATTTCCAAAAACACCCTGATGCTTATATTAATGCCGATATCTGACAATGTTTTGACGAATGTTCTTCATATACGAATATAACAAGCGCTTACTTTTCGAGATTGTTGCATTTTGTACTTAAATTTACTCGACTAGCAATACTTGATTCGAATGCAGAGTCCTCAGATTGAAAACCACTTAAAATCGAGAAGAATTAAGAGAATAGAAACTCTTTTTGGAAGTAAATCTCAGTTTTGCGCCAACCAAAGTTACGCTCATAACACATGAGCAAGACGACAGCACTTGGACAAAAAGAAAACTGGTTGGCTACCTATAGTGTAAAGTTGGTGTTGCGGAGTTGGCAAAACTTAATCGTAGTTCGTTAAACTGCGAGTCGTTCCGGTGCGATGGACCGATTGTAGTTGGAACGAAATACACTAGCGTTATAATTTATAACTTATAAACTTCCTTTGGGAAACATCAAAAGCTATTGAAAGCCTAGAGAAGGAAACGATAGTCTTACTTATCAGGGAATATAACATGGTAACGCAACAGTTACTCTTGAGATGTCACCAGAGTAGACATAACTTTGTTTCTCCGAGGCATGGTGGGACCTTGGCGATTTCAAGTAGAACAAACATATGTACAGGATCTTATGTATTGAAACTCGAACTCGGAATGAGTATCGTATTTTGAGGTCTCCCATATCAAACGGAGAAGAAAACCTATAGCGGAAAAAAGGAGTAGTTCTGGCACAATTTAGTTCAGGATGGAATAATAATCCAGATGCCTTCTGGTACCACATAAATCGTCGCGATTATTATTATTAGAACATGCAAAGTTATGTGAGCAAACTTGAAACACATTTGTCTCTATGAATGCAACTGCGGTCAACTGTTTGCAACTGGTATGTGGAGGTCTATCATATTAAACACTGAAAAAAGCAAAACAAGTCTTGTCCTTAAACTCATCAGCCAAGAAAGTTAAGGGTTTGGAAATATTTAAACTTTAAAAACGTATCTTTTGAACAATTCTACTTCAGAACAAATTGATTTTGGCGAAATAAGTATGTTTAACGTCATTAATATATAACAGGTTGCAATACTCCAGACTTATAGAAAAATCTGAATTATATACAATTTTAAAATCATAGAGTTTTGTTAAAAAAAACACATTCCTTTAAATGCTGTTTACCACAAACTTCAAGTGTTAAATGTAGTTTATGATACAGGAAATTTCAAATAAAGACTTTTTTTAATAATACTTCACACATACCAATAAAGTATGTATTAAATTGCTTTTCAATAATAATGTATGCAAATACAAAGAAAACTGAAATACCTTCAAATAAAACTGTTGGCGGTAAAATTGAGTTAGAATTGAATTAGTAATAGAAAAGATCACAAGTATTTTCTTAAAAGAAACTAGAAGAAAATAAAGTTAAAGAAAATGTTTGGCATAGCTAAAGATCCTTTACAACATACTAGTATGTATGAAAGGATGGAGGAAGGTATAAAGATAACACATAGTACATATATACAATTTAAAAAAAATTAATGAAAAAATTAACTAATTTTTATATTTTATTTATAACTTTACAGACAGTGAAGACAGCGAGGGAGAGGGAGGTTTGGGTAATGTCTCTCGCGTTATTATACGTCCTCCAGGAGTAAGTGGCAAAGCCAAAAGAGGTCACTTGTGTTTTGATGCCGCTTTTGAAACGGGCAATCTGGGTAAAGCAGACTTGTTGGGAGAATTTGAATACGATTTATTTCTACGACCGGATACCTGTAATCCTCGTTATCGTTTTTGGTTTAATTTCACTGTGGATAATGTTAAACAGGATCAAAAAGTTATATTTAATATAGTAAACATGTGTAAATCTCGTAATCTATTCAATGCTGGCCTAACACCTTTGGTCAAGTCATCTTCGCGACCGAAATGGCAAAGATTGCCTAAGAAAAATGTTTTCTACTATAGATCACCTTTGCATCAAAATCATTATGTTTTAAGTTTTGCTTTTTCATTTGACAAGGAAGATGATGTCTATCAGTTTGCTTTAGCACCACCCTATAGTTATTCACGTATGCAAGCGTACCTGAGTGTCATAGAAAATCGTCAGCAACAAGGTGAAAAGAAATTCACTAGAACACTATTGACCAAAAGTTTGGTGAGTTTTTTTTAAATACATCATTTAAAAACCCGTATTTATAAACATTTCTTTTGCAGCAAAATCGCAATGTTGATTTAATAACCATAGATCATGTTAGTGGCAAAACCAAAACGAATCGTATTGATCGCAGTTTTATACGTGTCATTATTATTTTGTGTCGTTCTCACGCCAATGCTAGTCCTGCTTCATTTATGTGCCAAGGTTTTCTGGAATTTTTGTTAAGTAATCATAATATCGCTAAAGTATTAAGAGAAAATTTTGTTTTCAAAATTGTGCCAATGGTTAATCCGGATGGTGTATTTTTGGGTAACAATCGTTGTAATCTTATTGGCCAAGACATGAATCGTGTGTGGCATGTTGCCACCGAATTTTCTCATCCTGAAATTTATGCCATTAAGAATATGTTAAAGGAAATTGATAATTCAGATGTGAGTATTAAATGATATTTTATTTAATTTATAAAGTAAAAACACACCTCATAGTGCATTAATTAACATCTGTCTCCTTAATTATCTCTTAACATTATATTATAATGTAAATTAATTAATTTATACATTTTCCTTTTATTGTTACAGTCATATCAAATAGATTTTGTTATAGATTTGCATGCTCACACAAGTCTACATGGTTGTTTTATATATGGCAATACATACGAAGATGTCTATCGTTATGAACGACATTTAGTATTTCCTCGACTCTTTGCAGCAAATGCCCCCGATTATGCGGCCAACAATATGATGTTTAATACCGATGAAAAGAAATCAGGTTGTGCTAGACGTTTCTGTTGTGAACGTTTAAGTGATACAGTGAATGCTTACACCTTGGAAATATCAATGGGTGGTCATTATTTAAAAGATGGCAAAACAGTGGCCTTGTATAACGAAGAGGGTTGTAAGTTGTTTTACAAACATTAATCACATTTATTAAAAAATATAATGCTGTTATTGTTAGATTACAGGTGTGGTCGTAATTTAGCTAGAACTTTTTTACAATACTATCGTTTTATAAATGTTTTACCCGTGGCTTTGCCGGCTGATGTGCGTCAAAAGAAACGACGTCCTAGGACACATCAATCCCGCTCAAGATCTAAGACCCGCTATGAAGTTAAACCCCGACCTAAAACCACTAGATGTTATGCTCCAATTTCTTATACAAATCTTTCCATATGTTACGATTCTGGTGGTTCTTCGGATGAGGGAGGCTTTTCACCCACTCGTCCCTTAGCTCCTGGCAGTAGTCATTTTAGTGGTTATCGCAACTATCGTCGTGTAGCCAGCAGTACTTTGCCTTCCATACAAACACCTCATGATCAATTTTCTTTATTGCGTTTAAAATCGGGTAAATTTGATTTAACTCAAGATTCTTCGTTGCCAGAATATGGTCGTAAATCAAATTCTCCGGAGAAGCAAATTAAGTTCGAATTACCCGTGAATGTACCTCCTAAACCATATCTCTCAATAATCGATTTAAATCAATTGACCAGAGGAAGTTTAAAAGTTAAAGCAACAAGTTTTGATGGTTAAGTAAATGTGCATTTTTTTTTATCAATTTATATTAAAATTTTTAAATAATGTATCTGTAAAAACTTGTTTAATAAAAATCTTAAATTTGTTTAAAGCTTTAATTCCAAATATTCTGGATTTTTAATCAATATTCTATAAATAAATAAAAAAATTTAGAAAGTTTCTATTCATAGTAAATTTTTTTATAAAAGTCAATAATATAGACAAGACTACAGATTGGTCAATAGTCAAGAACATTGTCTGGTCTATAGTCAAGACTGGTCTATAGCAGAGTATAGACTGGTCAATAGTCTAGTCTTCAGTCAAAGCTATAGACTGATTTATAGTGAAAACCATACACTAATCTACACTCCAGACTATAGACTAACATATACATAGTCGAGACTATAGACTGATATACAGTAAAGACTGTAGAATGACCTACATTCAAGACTATACACTGGTCTATAGTCAAGAATATACACTGGTATATAGTCAAGGCTATACTCTTGTCTACTATTAGACTATATACTGATCCATAGTCAAGCCTATAAACTGTTCTAGTTAAGACTACAGAATGACATACAATCAAGACTACACACTGGTCCAATTTTTTCAAACTTGGTCAAGTTTGAAGAGGTCTAAAGGATGCTTTTTTACTTTATTTTTTATTTTTACATACTTTCCGTTTTCTTTTAAATCAGTTGCCGATACAGACGATGTTACTGTAAAGATATCTGGAAGAGGTTAATGCTCTGGTCTAAGTGTTAATCCAGGAAAAAGAGAATAGATCAGTCTCTGGACAATAAAGGATTCCCTAGTTCTCTTCTAAATGTTTATGTCATATCGCTATCGGACAAAATACCTACACTTTGTTCTTGTTAGGAAGTTATCATCGGACATGAATGTACTCACGAGATCTACAAAGGCCATGAACGCCCACATGATTGTATCATATGATTGTACTATTGAAGGGTCATAGGTAAGTCTTAGGGCATAAGCCCTTGTAACGTAATGATAAGATTTAAAACTGTAAACAAGCCAATAATGTTGTAAGGAATAGTTATCTCTTGGCAGGCACTAGACACTTCGTCAAATCGGTTACTTCCTGAATCGGATATATGAGAACTCCTACTAAGGCCTTGTTTGACCTGCTTTATAGCTATCAGTGGACCTAGACAAGCAAGTGTCAGACTGAGTACAGTACCAATGACAAAGGGAAGAAAGCCTTCCAAACCCCTTTGATTTAATTGACTACAACATTGGAACTTACCGTGGCCTATCTCTACGAAGTCTAAAAGGATGCATCCCCCTATTGTCGATTCAGTAACATTTTCATTGAAGAATTTGATATCAAAATCTCATGACGATTGTGTCATTCTTCAAGCTAAAATATTTGTTATTCAGTGGCCGAGATATGAAATATATAAATTACAATTTGTTCTGATAATATGGTAGCTATTAATTCCCAGATCGGCATGTACTACACATCAAAACAAGTGAACGAACGTCTTTAAATGAGACTTTGAGACATTCCGGAATTTATGCAAGATATGTATGGAATTTATGAAATTTATGCAAGATATGTATGTCCCATGATTTCAGTAAAAGCTAGTAATCAAAATTTGTCCCGATCATTTCGAAAATCGGCAGTAACATGTAAACTTGTAGGAAACTAAGTTGTGCTGACATTTGTAGAGATTATAGAACATTTAACATAATTATGAGCTCAAGAGCCCAATTCTGGGGGTACGGTTAGGTAAAATAAAAGTCCGATTTCAACCATATGCTTCATCTTTTGGCCAAGAGAAAAGTAAGTGCCAAATTTCATCAAATTATCTTGAAAATTGCGACCTTTAGTATGCGCCCATGGCTAACATGGACACAAAGACGGAAGGAAAAAGCTAAATCGACTCAGAAAGTGATTAGGAGCCGATTGGTCATATTAATATCGACAATGCTTCGATAATAGTCTTACGAATATTTTATTCTCTTTAATCGCGAGCAATATAAACATAAGATATTGTCATTTCATTAATTTGTATTAAGTCAATGAACTTAAATGTTAATTTATACAAACTTTGACTAAAAACAAATCGATAAAGCATATCATTAAAACATATTTATAAGATACTAATTTGCAAACACTCTTTATAATCAATACATATTTATAATGTACAGTCTAAATGAGAAATGTTCCACGAAATAAATCATAACAAGTACATAAAATTTGCAAAAGAAAAAAACTTGCTGTTATTAATGATATCACATAATAGAAAAACGTCATTGATAAATACACATTTCTTTTGGCATGAGCAAAATAACTATTAAAAACAAACAGCAACAATTTCGAAATGAAATTCATACAAACAAATTATATACAGCAGAAGAAAAAACAAAAATTTTATATACCAATGATTAAAACTTGCATGCGTAAAATTTTGAATTTTATTTGAAAATAAAAATGTCTATTGAGCTTATCACATGAGAGAAACACATACGCAGTACGTGAGTTTAAGAAAAGAAAGAAAGAAAAAAAAAACAACCTATATATTAAATAATTCAAGATTCTTAAAATTGGATTGATGCCAATAACTGATACCCAAAATATATACTAATTCAACTGCTGGAAAGTAAACGTGTCTATTGAAATAGAGATCAACACTATATGAACTACTTTTCATATAAAATATTTAGTTAAAGCAAAGATATTCTTAATTCTACCTGTTTTTTTATATCTAATTTAATTACTTGCCCTTGTTATCATTAAGATTAATTTGTAAATGTTTTACAAATTGTCATTTAATCATAAAAAATAGATAAATAATAGTTTAATTATTATCTTATCAAAATATAAGCTGTTAATGTTAGTGGTGTTGGTGGCAGTGTAGCACCTTTCGTCTCATAATAAATGTCTATACAGAGAAACATGTGTAGAACTTGTACATTTTTGTAGGGATATCATTTGTTTATTAATGTATTTTGAATCACAAATGATTGATAAAGTTTAAATAAACAAAATGGGTTAGTTACACATGTTAGACATACAAATTCTCTTTACAATTTACAAATGCATATCAAGGGAATGGTAAAAAAAAACATTCCGTGTGAATATAATCAAAATTATTATATTGTGTAAGGGAATTTTGAAAATCTCTTTGAGGTTTCTTTATAAGATGTTCTAAAAATAAAAACAAAAGTAGATCACCTCATGTGAACTATTTGAGAAGAGTTCATTTAACTTCAGGGCATGCACTATTTAGTTGATAACAAATGTTTTTGTTTGTTATTTATATTATCAGTTTTCTATATCCGACCCAGACCTTATGTTTTTTTTAGGTTTTAAATCACTGGATGTGTTGGTATCTTTTATTTTCCACAATAATATAGCTGAACTTATTTATAACAAAATTTATAATAGAAATTACCGATTCCTATACCAGTTCAATATCAGTTTCTAACCCTCTCTAGTTTTTGGTTATGGGCATTTATATTTAATATGCTTTCTAAAACATATGTGACTAAAGCTTTAAGCAATGTGCTTTAATGAGCCTTCAGACATCAAGATTATCGTGTCATCAAATTTTACCATCGTACATCGGCCCTGAAGTGAAATGTTCTATGGAGGATTTATTAAATTATCTAAATGTTGTTAGACAATCAGTGGAGGAAATGAAATCAATCAACACAGGTCACAAAAAGTCGAAACCCATATACCAATATATTCAATCACACCAGCTTTTCAAAATATCATGTCCTAAATATTGAACAAAATACTTTTTGGTTATATTTTTTCAAAATTTAGGTTAAGATATCTCGAAAAACTGATGTGAGTCATTTGCATTCCTGAAAGATAATTTTTATTAACTACGTCATAAATTCTCGAAGAATCTAGTGATATGGTGAAATGACTTTGATAATGGAACGTCCTTTAAGGACTCTACATAAGTAGTTAAACATAAGTGGACTAGATATTGATCCTCAGAAAACAGGAATGCTTAAAACTGTTAAAAATTTATTATGCAACAGAAATATTAGATAGTTTACCGTTCCCGCAGAGAGCTATAGGGTTTTAAGGAACAACAGGCATTGTCAGGAAGTTATAAGACCCTACTTAATACTAACCTTAGGAAAATATTTCAATGCATTATGCATTTTCCACTGATTTTGTTAGAAATCAGGGTTGGCAAATGGAATTTTAAAATTGTCTAGTCTATGGGCTTGTATAGATTAATCAATACACAAGTCCATCGACTAGATAGTCTATTGCCGCCCTATAGACTAGAAAATAGCGAATTCTATAAAATAGATAATAGACTACTCTATATAATATACTGGTGCATATATAGAATAGACATAGTTTAGTTTATAGATTAGACAATAGAATAGTGTACTGTCTAGTGTATAGAATAGAACGTGTTTATCAGTTCAAAGACTAATTAATAGAGTAGTCTATAAACTGTACAATAGACTACTCCAAAGACTAGATAGTATACCGGTCAAGTAAGAAAGTCCGTAGAGTAATCCAAAAACTAATTTATACGACTAGTCCAAAGACTATACCATAGAAAAGTCACTTGACTATAGACCTAAAAATGCCTTAATTAATTAAGAAACAAATTTAAATCCCATTACTGCTGCTTAGAATACTTCACCTAACATAAATTCTCTCACCGCATGATTTGAATTTAATCATGTCAGAGAAAAAAAGCAGTAGGTAATAAATACTAGAAAATTATGCGTATTAAAAAAATAAAGCTAAAAATAGACAAACATTTAAACAAATAAAAGTTAAACAATAAAGTTAAAGAATTAAAACAAATGATAATAAAGCATATTGAAACAAGACGAGCAAATCACAAAAACAATTAGAAATTCCAATAAGAAAAAAAGCAACACAAAAACGAACAAAAACAAAAAGCCGAAAAATAAAGAAAAACAATAAAAATTTTTTGACAAAAATAATTAAAATAAAAAACAAAATGTTAGAAAAAACAACAACAACAAATGAAAATAATTGTTTAAAAATTACACATTTTTTAAAAAGCAAAATCTGGAATACACGAACGGCACTGGTCGAAAAAAAAAGAAATGAAAACACAAAAACAGTATTAAGAGGATGAGACACACGAGTTGAAAATTTGAAGATAAATAGGTACAAAAAATAAAAAGAAAATACTTAAATTTAATTAGCACTTATATGTAAAATTAATTATGAACAAAAAACACACAGACCGTTCGACAAAAAGAATTGAAAAATAAAGTTAAGCAATATATTGTTAAAAAAAAACTTTTACTAAAAGTTAGAAAAGTTATAGGAAAGGTGGGGGAGAGTATCTGTCTGGGCCATTACTGTCTGGAAGGGAGTTGCACTAACGAAAAGTTATTTTTCATTTTTTTAAAAGAAAATATAGATATAATTTACTTATTACGCTGCAGCAACATTTTCTTCAATTATAACTTCACTTTCTCAAACAATTTGCTTGGTTATCCAATATGATTTTGTGAAATTTTCAAGTCTATAGATAAATTTCTTTCTTAGATTTTCACTTTAAAATTCAAATCCAATAAATATTTGACGATGCACACAACACCAACGAAAACGCACTTTATTTTGCTTCAAAAGTTTCTACCAAACTGCCAGCTGCGGTATTTTTTCAACATAAAATCTAAGAACTTTTTTCTCTCATCTTTTCGTATTTTTTTGCTTACTTTTTGTGTAATTTTTTCCGTTTGTTTTTTTATGCAAATATTTGCAAGTTGAGTACAAAATAAATAGCAAAACAACAAAGAAAGATCCACCATAAAAAGAAATGCAATAATAGCGACACACAGAGACAAGGATGAATAAAAAAAAATTTATTTTGTAGTTGTTGTATAGAGAGAAATACGAATTTTTGGAGGTAAAAAGTAAGAAAATAAAATAATAATTGAAAAAATGTCAAAAAATTGTATTTTATTTGTTGCTTTTTGTTTTTAGGAAAAGTTTGTTCTTGTTTTTATCTGCACCCCCACTGCAGTTGTGTAGAGTTGTTGTTGTTTATAAACTTTTTAGTTTTTTATTATGTCGCTTATTTCTATTTTTTTGTATATTTACTTTTTGTTATTTTATTAAAACAGCTGGTCCAACTTTTATCTTTGGCTTTTAATGTATTTTTGTCTTATAAAATTGTAAATTTCTTACAATTCAATTATGTACACTTAAAAAAACACAAAGAATTGTTTTTTTAATCCGTCAATTCACTAATTGGCACGAGTTTTTTTCTACACGGCTTCTTGACGAAAGAAGAGAACAAGGCAAATACATAAGGTGAAGTCAATTCAACAGCTGTTATTAGTTTTAAAGAACTGTCAAAATGTACCATTTAGCGTTGCCAGAAGCCAAAAAAATACTTAAAGTCTTTTAGGAATTACCCAGCGGTAAAAATACACGTTATGTACTCGCTTATCTAAGTGATATTTCGTGGCAGTCAGTGGTGATGCTTTCACTTATTCTTCCACTTAGATTTAACATAAAAGTGTCCTAGGCTGCCTCATCGATGTGCTCTCGCTTAGAATGTAAGCCACAGTTTCATTAAGACAAATTTAAATTTCACATACATAATGTGTGGAGTTCTAAGCGAAGTTAATGAGACTCCTATAAACGCTTGCAAATTAGAATGTAATGTATGTAGATTACAATCCTATTTGCATTTGTAAGTTAAAGTACCATGTCTTCCGATTTTGTTAAAGAAAAAATATATATTTTTTTACGTTTATTTCAAATTATGTAAGTTTATTTAAAAATTATCATCAAATAATAAACATGTATTATAGTTAATTCAATAAAAATATAATTAAACAATTTTAACGAAGATAAATGAAATGAATCTTAATTTTCTTTTGAAACTTTCGGCCATCTTCCTTTACAGATCCTGTAAACAAACAAGAGGAAATTGTCAATATTAAAACTAGAATGTATGAATTAAATTTACCCCAATTTTTAAATCCGTTTGTGCCATTTAGATCACCACAATTATTTTAAATTTTTATAATAAAATAACTTTTTTAAGAAAACACAACTTCACTTACAAAAGATCAACTTTGAACTGAAACAAAAATATTATTCTTTTCATGTAGTATAGATACAAAAGAAAAATAAAACGATACTTTAGTTCTGTTTTTTTTGTAAAGATATAAAAACAAAAAACAACATGAAAAAGGCAGCTAACTCTCTGCTTAAATCGTAATCTATGTTATAATTAAAGTGCATGATATGTTGGATTACACATGCATTACACTCTAAGTACTTAGATTGCTCGCTTAGAACGTCATATTGATGTCATCGAATATTATCTAAGTACTTTGTTTCATTTACCGCTGGGTAATTATATTTTCAAGGTAGTAAATTATTGATTTTTTTTTTCGTACTTTTAAATACGAAAATTATTCACTCTTCCAAAGTTATTCATATTGTTTTCATCTAATTGGAAAAACGATTTTATTTTCGGCAAATTGGTAAATAAAAATCAAATTTATATTTAGATCAGCAACATCAGTACCGCAATTCAGTAACTTTTTAACTACAAAATTTTGTCGTTAAATAGTATAATTTCGTAAGTTAACAATAATTGTCGTTATGTGGTATTCTGATTTTTATTTCACCGATTTTTTTTGTTAAACAAAATCATTAGTTAACGAAAAGTATCGGCAATGTAACGACAAATAAAAAGTTCACGTTAATAATTTTATATTTTAAAAATATTTCAATACAAAACTTTTGACATTCTCATATTTTTCCGATATTTGTCGTTAAAATATTCTAAGTTCGTTAAAAAGTTACAGAATTAAAAATTCGTTAATGCAACCGATGTTTGTCGTTACTTTACGATATCGGTAGTTAAAATTATAAAATTACAGAATTGCGGCACAGTACCCCTTATTATCTAAATTTGTTTTAATTTTGTATATAGCAAAATTTCTTTTATCAAAGTGGAGCTCAATAAATCAACTTTCAAACAATCAAATTTTTGTCAAAAAGTCGAAGTCGATTATTTTGTTCAAAAAATGTCGGTTATATAAACCAACTTTTTAACAATCGACTTGTTGTCAAAAAAATCTAATATTTTGTTAAAAAAGTCTTTCATCCTACTATCTTGTCGATATAAGAAAATACTAAAATAGGGTCTTTCGAATAATCGAACAATCGACTTTTTGTCGAAGTAGACTATTTTATTCAAAGAAAGTGGATAACTCGACTATCTTCTATGAAAAAGTCGAAAAGTCAACTTTGTAAATAAAAATAAAAAAAAAGTTCGATAAGTCGAAAAAATTAAAAAAAAAGTCGAATAAAGGCGAAAAAAGTCGAAAAGTCGACTTTTCATAAAACGAAAAAAGTTGAACAGTTCACTTTTCATCAATCGCAAAAAGTCGAAAAATCGACTTTTCATAAATCGCAAAATGTCGAAAAGTCGACTTTTTGTTTCAACTATAGAACCTTATCACAAACATTTTATTAGGGTTCTATAAATCGACTTTAAAATAATCGAAGAATCGAAGTCGATAAAAGTCGAAAAAAATTATAAGTTTTTTGCAAAAAAAAGTCGAAAAGTTGAATAAAATTCCGGAAAAGGTCGAAAAGAAGAAAAAAGTAAAATCGTCGAAAAAATCTAAAATTTTTCAGTTTTTCTTCAACAGTTTAAATTAAGTTAAATTATTTTTATTTAATTAAAATAATATTTAAAAAATTTCCAAAATTCTTCATATTTTTGCTTCAAGTTTTATACTTGAAAAAAATATTTTTATATTACGTTTTACGACTTTCTGTTTTACGTATATGTACGTTTCGGTTGTGAAATTACATTCTAATATTTATTTCTTTCCAAAAATTTCGAAATAAGTCGGAAAAAGTTAAAAAAAGTAGAAAAGTCAAAAAAAGTCGAATAGCTGGAAAAAGCACAAAGACGACTTTTCATAAAACACAAAATTCAAAAAGTCGACTTTTCATATAGATTATGAGATTTTACGTGTTACTAAAAAAAACCTATGTATTTAAAGAATCAATGTTCTTAAATGTTCCATTATAGCAATCTGGCAGCTCTACTGGTTTGCTTGAATTCTAGCGATTTCAAAAAAAGGAAATGCTTAGCCATGATATCGGCGATAACTGTTGGGGATGATAACAGTATTTCTTTTATCCTAAAAGTACGTTGTATTATTACTTAACTTTTTAGCTTTTCCCATTAAAGTATGCTATGTACATTTTTATGTGATGATAGCAGAGACCTGCACCACATTGTAATTTAGTATTAGTTTCCGCTTCTGAAGTGTAAAATTTATTATTCATTCCTTTGTGTACATCCGCTAGCTTCTACCTAATGAAGCTTAATGACGTTAATTTGAAATTACGTCTGTATCCTATTCAAAATAAAAATTTTTCAAAACTTATTTTTATAAAATCGAGAAAAGAAGATAAAACTTTTCAAATTTACACTAGTTAAAAAAAAATAGTTTGAAGAATTCTTAATATTCAAACTCTTTTATGAAAAATATTTATTTTTTATTAAATAAAATATTTCTGTATTTAGGATATTTTTTATTTTTGATAATCTTGTATTTTCATTAGTATGAGTGAATTTATTACAGTTTTGCTTCATGTAAACTATTTTAAAAGAAGTACAAATCATGATTTAAAAAATAGAAGGTTGTTTCAATTTTATTTTTCTGACAAGAAAGGAGATATTTGAAGTTAAATTTTTTGGAAATATTCAAGGAAAACGTTGCCACATTTAGGAAAAGGGTTAAGTACTTAAAGAAATTTTTAAATAAATATGTGTAGTTTATAAAAATTGACTAATTACAACAGTATTTAGAAGCTTTTGCCAATTTTACACATTATGTAGATCAAAAGCACATTTTTATGCAACACTCAAGTTATTACATTCTAATTGGTCATACATAATCGACAAATAAAAAGGACCTTCTCTGGAGGCTAGGGTAAACTGTGGCCAAATTCTGGGTACAAATTAATGTCGAAGTGCTTGACATGAACACTTGCCGTGTTATCTTATTTCACGGTGGTCTTTTTCAACCACTGGGTAAGCTTCTCTGATACACTTAATAAAAAAAAACATCCGACAGACTTACTCTAGGAATACGGGCGGATGAGATCCGCATACCCCTACATCCATCCCGTATCATCTCTTAACACCGACTCATTTTTAACGCTTAGTCCCACAGACACTCCTCTGTATGGTATATGTAGACTTCAGGATCTATCATCAAGGTAACATGCCCCTCGGGAGAAGCTATGGGCACTAAGAACTAGTAGAAAACAAATAACGAGCTTATGACTTGTTAAACAGCATTCCAAAAGTAAATTTGTATAAGGGTTAGGTAAAACCGCGGACTGATATTACCTATTAGTACCTATGAATACGTATGTATTTCGAGATTTGTGAGATTCCAAATGGTTTTTCAACGGTTATTTGGAGCATGTTGTTGCAACATCGAAGTTGCTGCAATCATTTCAACACTTTCGATTTTCTTGAATTCGTTGAATTTCAGGCCCAAATATGTCGTTTTTTTGTTAAAATTATAACAAAAATTCCAATTTTTAATTAGAAAAATATTTTTTATTTGAAATATGTACACATAAGAAAATTTTTTTAATATTTGGTAGCATTATTTTAAACATAAACTTCAAATCGCCTTTATTGTCAGATAGTTAATCAGGTTGACATAAGAAGCA